AGAAAGTTTGTTTGCTCGGTGCAAAAGGAATATATAGCATTTGAAAACTCTTGAAAAGCAAATCTGTTTTCTGATTTAATGACCTGTAGAGTATCCCACAGCTTGTGACTTGACAGAATCTGCTTTTCTCCCAACCTCATCAATGAGAATACAAAAACTACTAAAATTTTTCTTCTGACCTGAGAGAAAATTTAAGGCAGGGGGGATGAGCTACTAGTATGTGCATTTGTTTCCATTTGCATTTTTTCTGATGTTCTTTGTGGATTTTCAGATTGCCAAAGCAGCAGGATTACATATTTGACAAAACCTGCTACAAAAGAAACTTCTGGTTCTTCTCTTTGTCTCAATTTCTTTCTAATGGAAATTAAGACCATTTGAACGTTCAGGTGTGACCTAACCAAAGACCAAGCCTTTGCAGGCTACTGCCTGCTGGGGACCAGCAGAGAGCTATGACCCATGTAGAGCACAATAAAGCTGGCCAAGAGGTTTCTGGCACATCTTTTCTTAGGCAGAAGATGTCAATTTGTCAAAGCTGAAACCTACGTGCCAAAGACTGGCTTCTGTAAGTTCCTTTTATTCTGTTTCCTTTTTCTTTTTTTTTTTTTTTTAAAAAAGTTTTCTGGAATAAAACAGTCTGCACTGGTATTTGCAGCATAAAAAAAAATAATCTTGCTATTTTCTCCCCAAAAAACCCCTTTTTGCTAAGAAGTCGAAGTTAATGAGGGCAAAAATAAAGATTCAAAAAATAAGAACAAAAAGACACCAAAATACAAGAAATGCTGACTGATGCAGAAGAGGGAAACTGGTCATGTAGGAGCTGTGATTCCTGGAGGTGTTTTGTGCACTTGACTCCCATTTATGGAACTTAAACACTTTTAGGAGTGGGGCTGGTCAGCAGCCACACACCTTCCTCAGGTTCCCTCGCATGCCTCAGCCCTCCCAGCCTATTGCTACAGATATGACTGCTGCTACCCAGGCTGAATACAGACTTAAAAACTGCTCTCAGAGTTTGAGTATCCACTTCTGCTGCTGCTTCTATCTTGTAACGATCAATCAACATGTTAGCCAGGTATGGTATAGTAGCTGCACAGCCACTGTTGGCAGTTCTATCTGGAAACATGCTGCTGAGGGTCACCAAAAGAATGAGCCTTGATTTGACCTGCTCTGTAAGCTGCATTACAGCTACCAAGAAGCATTTGTGCAGCCTTTTCCTTAATTCTTCTACTATAGCCTAAACAACATAGTTACAAAAAGAGCTTACATAAAAGGCAGGTCCAAATCCTCCTGGGAATGAAAAGGGTCTTGAGAAAAATGTGATTTTTGATAATACAAAAATCTAAATCTAGGTAAAATTTTCTTCCATCTTTCAAAATGTTATTTCATCATTGTCTTACCTCCACAGCAGACCCCTTTCCACCAGTCATTACTAACACTTCAAACTACATTTGACAGATGACATTGAAAGCTCAATGTCAAGTGCTTAGAAGGTGTACCCACCTAAAGTGAAAGTATTAGATCCAAATTCTGTGTCCTTATTATGGCCAGAAAAATCCGGTTTAAAACACTGCAGCCCTATGAACTGTTTCTAAGGAGACCCAGAGGCTGAATCTAATACTAAATGGATTTTTGTGGGGTTCAGAGATCAGTCTCAGTTCTTCAATGCCAACAATTCAGAAAAGAGCAGCTGCTGGTCTTGTGCTAGGGTTTGTCTCTGCAGCCCTCAAGTTTAACAAGTTCTCCTTCAGACAACTGCACTTTTGCCATAGGGGACTCCTATCTTGCAGTTGGACCATCTATATTTATAGAGAATAATTTTATCCATGGACTTCATTCTCTCATCACCTGTGTCATCAAACAGTACCAGTGTGGGTACTGTGATGGCAAGGGGTAGGTGCTCAGGAAAGCTGAAGCTATAAGACAGGTACAACACTGATACTAGAGGAGCAGGAACCTGCACTGGTCAGGCTCTGCTAGTGTGAGAGTGATTTTCTTTCCATGGGAATGAATAATTGGGTGGTTTTCTGTTGTCCTCTCTTATAAAATTAGTCATTCATGATACTCTTCATTTTCAGAGTGAGTTGAAAAACTTTCATGTTCCCAGGGGAGACATAGATGCTGTTTTCTTTATTTTACCTCCTGTAATGTCAGAAGGAAACGTTGGCTAGTCAATACAATTGAGAAGGAATTGGTCCCAGGACAGCCGCCCTTCCCAAAACAACAGTGATACTGCTTCTGTAATCCAATAAGGACTTCCTAACTGTTTCAATATCCCTTAACAACCAATTCCTACAAACCTAATTCCCCAACTCGTTATTGCTCAAAGTACTTGACTATCATTATTTCTGGTTCCAATCAAGGATCAGTAATGAACTACATGCGTAAAAGATCACCACAGAGGTGATCATATCAAGTGTTTGTCTTGGTAAACGCAAATGAGTTGATATCAGACAGCAAATTCAGTGGACAGAAGGAGAGTTCTACTCCACGTGAGCTGAGCAGGTTTTCCACAACAACAGTTGTTAACATAGCAAAATCCAGAAGTGAACCTAACAGTTGCTTTTTGTCTGCTCAAAAGCAATGGGAAGCCTGAGTATAACTGTCTCTTGGGTGGGATACAGCCTCCAAATAATGAGTTTGATCTGGGTAAAATTACTCTGACTGCCTCTTGAGATCTGCTCTGTCCTCTCTTTTATTTTTAATACGATGATCCACAAATCTTGAGATGCTTTTGTAAATTGAGTTGTTTATGTTATTCCAGATCCTGTGCAACTGATCTACAAATAGTTCTAAAACCGTTTGCAAGATATTTGTCATCGAAAGCCTTGCAGGAAAGATCTTGCCAAATAAACTACCATATGGCAAATATTTGCTATGATCCACCTATGACTGAAATGACAGGAGAATCCTTTGTGGGACTGCTACCCACTGACTCCTGCTATGATGAGTTTGGATACTGATTTTACCTGTATCTGGAGAAGTCAGAGTTTCAGCCTTGTGAAAATGGTTTGTCCAGTCTCGTAAAAAATAGTTTTTCCAGAGGGTGATTTCATTTCAGGTGTATGTCCACTGACCATAAAAGAGTTTTGTTTGACTAGGGGAGTCTTGTCTGTCAATGCAGGGGACACATGTCTAGTCTCTTAGGCTGTTCTCCCCCTTTCTCGTTTTACATGAAGCTCCAGCCCTTGGGAGGAGATGGGAACACAAAGCAAGACAGAGAGACAGGTTCTGGAGCCAAGCAGCTTGGCCAATCCGGGTGACAATTAAGTTCCATTACTTTGTTGTCACTCTAAGTGCCTAACCAAGGCACTAAGTGCAGAAACTGGAGAGAAATTATACTGTCTGCCTCAAACATCCACTGAGTGTTTCCAAGTCTGTCCCGAGAGTGAAGTGCCACCAAGGCATGACTCTAGCTCCTAGTGTGGCCTTCATTGCCTGGATTGCTCAGAAGGTCTATGACTATAAAAAAAAAAAAAAGGAAGAAAGAGCTCTGACCTCTGTGTTGAATCAGTCTTGCCTATATTGCTTTATTCCAAACCGAGCACAACACAGAACTAAGATATTTACATGTCTAAAGTTTCATAATTTTTGTGACTGTACCTAAGAAAATCCCAGATGACTGACTGACACTGAAGAGACCCAACACTGGCACCAGGCACCTTGCCCTAATGGCCACTGCTGTGACCGCTGAGTTTGCCTCATGCAGTTTGCCTCAAAACCTGCTAGCAGCCAGTTGAATTAAGCTCCTCTCTAAGCTCATGGGAGAACCTGTCTCCTCTGTGCCACCAGAGATAGTCACACTTGGCAGGTGTTGTTGGTACACCAGTTAGCCCAACCATCAAAATCAGTCTTTCGTATAAATCTCACTTCTGCAGCTCTTCAGATTTAACCTTCAGTGTCTGCTGAGACCTCTTACTGATTGCTCTGACCACCAGAGAAGACGTGAACAGACTAAATAGAAATACTTCAGGCCCACAGTACTCATCTGCTAGCACTGACACAATAGACATGGAAGCTGACATTGCTAACAGATCCTTTACAGGATCTAACCATCATTGTAGAAAAGAACTCTTCACTTGGCATTACTGTATGGAATATGTCTCAAAAAACTGCATATTTTCTTCCTCATCAGCTAAAAGGCAGATACCAGTATTGCAATCATCTGTATTAAAAGGTCTTGAAAATCTCAGCATTGTCTACCTCAGAGGAAGCTTGTAAAAAAAGCAAAAATTAAGATCAAAATATCAATGGCACTTAATTTAAATCCAAAATCAGGCCTGTAGGCTCAGATCAGGACTCAAAGCTTTATCTTAATCTAATTTTATCCAAACAGTTCAGTGATAACAAGTGTTTGTAAAATCCACATCAAGGAAACCAGAGGGGTTCCCAAGACCTGTAATGAGAGCTGGCAACACTGAGTCTGCATATTAGTAAACCCAGGCACTCACTGAGTAAGTCGCTCCAGAAAGCACTTGACAAAGACAGAGCTCCCCTTCCACCCCAAAAAGGCATTGAAACATTTTGCTGAGTTGTTATAAGAGCTTCAAATATTTACCTGTTTTGGGATGCATAAAGGAATTGGCACCACTGCAGATAGCCTCTGCCTTTCCTACGGTAGTGTGCATGTTCTCATAGCTCATTTAAATACATGGTAAATTTTGAGCAGTAGAAAGAGAACTAGTCTAACAGCTCTTAAGAACAAAGCTCTTTATTTGTTCATGAAGCAAATAAAAGCACAGGAAAGTGTAGCACAACCTTCCGTCAGAGGAATCCCTACAAGTACACACCCTACAGAAGGCTCAAACAGCAAGAAAACCAAAACAACAATGCCTGATAAAAGCTATAGATATCAGCAAGAAACAATGGGAAGGTGACTGCTTTGGACACACAGACAACACCTTGTCCCATCTGCCATCAGATAAGAATGACAGACTGCCCTCGCTAAGGTGATCAGCACCAGGTAACCTGGGAGAATGGCAGGATTGTTTCCAAAGTCACCGTACCTGAAGGATGACCCAGTGACCCTCCTTCGCAGCCAGATCTAGAGCTTGTTCAGCAACTACCTCTTGACCTTGTCCAAGGGAAACATTGTGGAAATTCCTGTTGTTAAATGTATAACCAAGTTTCTTCCCTAAAAGAAAAAAAAAAGAGCAACGTTCAGCACTTTTACTTGGGACGGCATGCAGCACAGCTGAGCTCACACAGTAGCAGTGAGGCAGAGTTCAGTCTTATCAAAAACCCTCACAGAAGAGCTATCGCACTTCTTATAATAGTTATCTCGTCTCTCACACACTCCTTACCAAAGCACTGAAAACAGCAATGGCTTCTTTCAAACTACTTTTAATTACAGAGCAGCATCAACGCAAAGATACATTGTTACAAAGTGCCTCTTGTTTAAAGAACATTATACCTTTGCAACCTTGTGTGAAAACATATTTTACAGTGATAGAAAATTAAAATAATTTCTTGCTGATTAAACAGGCTTTGAACAAGACATCATTCAGTGCAGAAATGCACCCTGCGATGAATGCTAGAACCAACAGTAAGGTTAGGAACCCATTCAGTTTTGAGAAGGCAGCTGAAATGAAATCCGTGTGAGCTTCCTGTGGCCTTGACCAAGACCTGACAGGTTTCTCAGATCTAGAGATCAGTCAGCGCTTCGGATTTCTCATGGATCATCATGGGCTTTGGCAGGTGTGGAGTTTTCTCTGGGTGCACCACAATGGGTGTGGAAGGCCCATGACCAGTGGACTGCAGCAGAGTCCATGGGAAGGAGTGCTCCAGGAGCCACTCCAGACCACCTCCTACATCCCTCTCTGCATGGTGCAGGGTGGGAATCCCAAAACCCATGTCATTTACTATCCTGCTCTGGAGGAAGGATGGCAGCTATTTAGTGTTTCTTCATTTAGTCTGTGATAATCCTTCAGACTCCCCTGATTTCTCTGTAGCCCCTCAGTGACTCAGACCCTTTAAGTGATCATGGCTAAAGACCTCCTGTTTAGTTTCCTGAATCTGTTTGTCATCCAAAGACAGAGGACACCAGTCGCTCCTTGTCTCACAGGAGAAGCAACTGCCCAGAGCAAGCTATCTCTGCCATGTGCTCCTCAGAAGATGTGCTGCTGGAGAGAAACAGCCCAACAAACATCCACACTGGCTCCACACATCATAGTAGGATGCATTCAGCTCAGCTGGGGAGTCACTACACATGTCCCCACCTGCTGATCCCTTTGGATTGCCTACACTTATCTCTGCAAGCAGATTTGCCTTCATGCAGACAGTGCATGCTTAATTCCTGATTTCTGCTAAAAGCAGGTAAGTTTTATAGTAAAATAAGGAAAAGATTTGTCTTACAGTACTTAGGATTCAGCTCTTGGTACCAGACTGGAAACAGATGGTCATAAGTAAAACAAACATCCAAACTCTTCCAGTTGCTCAAGCTCTCTGCTTAGCCTTACTACAGCAAGCCTGTATACAGCTCTCCCTAAGGATACAGCTCTCCCTGTATTTGAGAGTTTCCTGTTTTCTTTCTCATGATCTCTGGTGGCTGCCACCTTTGAGAGCTGCTAATCTCCTCTTCTGCCTTCAAGACTCACCCTCTCAAGAAGTGACGGGGCAAATTTACAGAAGGCAGGGCACTACCCCAAACCCAGAAGATTAATACTGAAATTAATACCAGTTGTTATTTCCACTTCACAGATGGGAACAGGACTGCAGAGGGATACACAGTGAGCCTCTGCTGGCTGCCTCACCAAAGACGATACCAGTCTTCCTCCTTCCTTGCTGACATGGAGGGGAGAGGGGAAGATGCAGTTAGGCTTCCCCAGGGAGGTGGGGAAGCTTTCCAAACCCAATAGTGTTTGCTGCAGGGTCCTCCCCACGTTGCCAAGGAAAGGTCTCATGAGTTGGCAGCATCTGGAAGAAGCTATCTTCCGTTCACAAGAATTATCTAGCCAGACATACACTTTAATAAAACCTAACGAAGGGCAAAGAAAATACCAAATAATTAATCCAATCCAAACCCCAGCAAGGCAGACTTTAAGGCCAGTGCAGCTGCATTGAAGGAATGGTTTTATTTCATTAGATTTTTTTTCCCTTTTACTTGCTGTAACTTTTCTGGCTGACTAACTCCAGGTGCTCAACTACACTCATCTTTACAATTCCAATTAAACTATTCATGGTTGGATTTTTAGCGCTTCATTTCCCATACAACAAAATAACACAGTGAGAGACAGGATCACCAACGTGGCTCCAAAGGGAAGCCACGCACATGATAGAACCTTCCTCACAGGAATTCCCTTCAATTCACAATGATGAAATCTGGTGTCAGGGCAGACAGAGCATGAAACACAATGCAAAGTCCAGGAACTCCCCTCACCAGAGAACTGCAATCTGGTCTGTGGCTCAGACTACGCTGGGCTCTAACATCTCTGCAAACAGCTTGTGGGAATGTGGTTAAAGACTGACTCAAGCAGTATTTTGGGATGACCCAGAAAGTGAGTCATAGAAACGAAAAGAAATCCACAGGTCACTGTTCTTCCACCACTCGCCTGGATGATGACTTAGTTCAGTGTTACTGGTTTCTCTGCTAAGGCTGCCAGCCTTTATGATGTTTAGTCTGGAGACCTGCTGAAAACCACCCAGCAGCTCTACTATGGTAGTCTGATAGGTAGTTCATATGGTTTAAATATACTGTACACCATACTGCCAAGAGCATTGGGGCTTGACCACGAGTCATGGTCTTGGAGATGTGTGGAGGGTATTACGAGAAGGAGAAAAGACATCTGATGAGCAGAATGGTAATCTGGAGCAACCCTAAAGCAGTATCCAAAGGCATCTGACCCCTCGGTTCCAGAGGGATGGAAGTCCTCTGTGTAACAGTCTCGAAAGGAGCGACCACAGTTACCTCTGTTCAAGAGTCAGAAGTGACCCCATTTCCAGACCGACTGTAATTGCCATGTTCAGGCTGAAAATGGTAATTCTTCCACAGTGGAGCTGAGACCCAGAGCAAATTCTGCACATTGGTGGCTTTAGAGCACAGGCACTGACTACAGCAGTCGGTTCACAAAGGAAATCTCTGCCTTCTCAAATAAGGCACCTTAGAGAAGACCTTTCGGTTCTGGAGCCAGCTGACAGAACATCTGACCATCCATACTAAAATGAACTCAGGAAGGATGGGATTATAAACGGGAAACTCTGCCACAAACCAGGAGGCTGTTATAGGGAGTTGTTGCTTATTTTTAGCTACCATAGAATCATAGAATACCAGGTTGGAAGGGACCTCAAGGATCATCTGGTCCAACCTTTCTTGGCAAAAACCAAACTAACTGACAACATATTAAGTATCTCTGACATAAATTATAGGTTGTATACAAGACCAACTCAGAAATAGTTGCAGTGTGAACCACACTGGAAATCCAGGCAATACAGGAAAAAGAGAAGTTTAAATTAAAATTTAGATAAAAATCCAAAAACCTTAAAGAAAAAAAAAGAAAAAAAAATCACATCCTCCTCTCACAATTATCTATTTTTAACAGGTTACTCCATTATCTACAAAGAGATGAGGAAAAAAAAAAAAACCAGAATAAAAATGTCTTGCCAAGATAATCACGCAGAAGATAAAAAGCAATGCTGTGGTATGCCTAGGGACATGATTTATTTACCTTGTTTCTCCACATCCTTCAGTGGGTCGACTCCTGGGGACAGGATAAAAAACATTGGTGTTGCAGGTCCTGATTCCTCAAAGGTTGTTGCAAAATCCAGGGATCTCCCTACCACATATTTACTGCCAAGCTTTTCTTCTACAAAATCTCTGCCAGAAAGAAAAAAGTTTTGCCAGTCTACCCTTGTTCAGAAAAGACAGATTCTCCTGCAAATAGTCAATTAATTAGTTTTCATTTTACTGATTCAAATGGATTAGAAACTAAACAAAAAAAATAGGCATGAAATTATTTTAGAGAGGATCTGCAGGTTGGGCTTCTGGAGTTATCACTCAGTAGCAATATTTGGCAATTTTTACAGGGGTAAAATGACACATAGTACGCCAATATCTCACAAATGAAAGGAAGTGAGAAGGGAAAGCAGTGGGATGTACCAGCCCAATGCTGTATTCAGAAGTTCAATAAAAGGACAGGCTTGATCCTGACAAAGGTATCTCAGGAGAGAAGAAATAAGTTGATGTATAGAAAACTGCCATGTACTTTGTGATACATACGGGCTTTGACAGGAAACAGCATTCCTTTACGTTTATCACCAAAAGTCACAAAAAGTCCAGATAATTTACAAAATTACTTTGTTCTGGAAAGATAAAAGGGAGGAGTTCTAAAAATATCTAGCATTTCTAGCTTAACCTCTGCATGACAGTCACAAGGAAAACTACAGCTGAGTGAAGAGGAAAAAATTCAGCTCCACAGCAGCTTCCTGAACAGAATACAGCACATGGAGAACATCCAGGCTGAATTTCCCCCCAGTGAGCTTCCAAAATCACTGCTTTAGAAAAAGAAGATACAGTGAACATTGATTCAAAAGTAGGAATATTATATTCAAACCCAAGGAATGAGTAGTTACTCTTCTAGTGTAGATACACGACTCAGGCCTCTGGAAACCTCAGTACCACAGGGAAGAAAAACATTGACCAGTTTTCACCTGGTAGATGGTACTAAAATAAGGCAGCCAAATTCTTTCTAAGAGAATTGAGAGTCTTCTTCAAGGACTAGCGAAAGGCAGTTGGAATAGAAATGCCTAAGAGATTACAAAAGAAAAAGCTTCCACTTTCTTCGTACCTCTTGCAAGTAGGTTTTCCTGTTCTGGGTCAAGATTTGCTAAAGAGCTGCTGGAAAGCTTCAGTCCACAAATTTTTAAAAAGTCCATCAGATATGAAATCACAACATTCTTGTTTTACATCAAGTCTCAGCTCTACGAAATGATGCTTTGGAGATTTAGAAACACAACCAATGCGATTTGGAGGTTTCGAAATGGACCACATGTGCAGGAAAGGAAGGTCTGCCCTTAGAGACAGGACTGGAAGAATGCATACGCTTGGTGCTTCTGAAATTAAGTCTTCGTAGGGGTAGTTCACAGTATAAGCAGTAGGATTTGAGAAATCATCCCAGAACAAAAAGCAAAAACACCCTGCTAGACAAATGACTGGCTTACAGTTTTTCTAGGTTATATGAAGTCACAGTTGCCTAAGATCTTTTATCTGAAGAGTCCATGTAAGTCTTATAACCATGGCTGGAGGTACCAGCTACCAGAGTCCTTAGTCCTTCCACATTGTTTCAAAGGTCTGTCCCTCAAGGCAGAAGTACCAACACTTTTGGAAGGACTTCACCATGATCAAGTTATACCTTGCTAGTAGCTCCTGGACTTATCTGACCTCATTGTGGATGTGAAAGCATGGGAGCACAAGGAGTTGCAAGAAGTTCCTTGCTGATATTCTTCAATAAGATTGAAGGATGAAATAAGTATTTACACAGGAAAATCCCTCTTAAGGAAATTATGGTTATTGGTGATGGACAATAAAGCACTGCCCCTATCTAAGCTCTAAGGAGTGAGTCAGGGTAAGAGTGGTTTCTCCTGATGGGTCCTTAGGCCTAAGGAATAAAATAACCTGTGTAAATATCTCCAGGGATCTGCTACAATGAGTAGCTGAAAAACCTAACTTCCAAGACAGGGAAATGCAAGAAGCTTGTACAGGGGTGGATCATTTTAGATACCAAAGAGTTTCCTAGACCATCTTCATGGAGCTAGCACATATGATATGGGATATAAAGGGTCTTGCACCTTTCTGAACAGCAGCTGGAAATGAGGTAGGGATATTCTAGGGGTTCTAAAACACCCCTAGCCACCTGTGTTTAGGCTATCAAATTATTCCTTAACTCCTAAAATGCACTCAAGTACTTGTCAAGACTCTCAGAGAGACAGGAAGGTTAGGATTAGTAGTCATGTCCATTGATCATCAGTGAAGTATTTAATGTTAGCAGATTTATCTGATGTACTGAAGGAAGAGATCTGCAAGTTGAGAAATGTAGAACAACTTGTGGGATCCAACGACATTTCAGGTATCTAAAACTCAAAGAATTTCTTCATGATCTTGAAACAACGCTGGCTAAAGTAGGGATGTTGAGGTTGAAGTTCTCATGGTCAGAGTATGCAGCTCCCCAGTACTCTACAAGATCTCCTACTTTTTGAAGGGTCACAGACACCACACAACTTTGACAGTGCTTAGGAAAACAAGACACCAGATGATCATTAGCCTTCTGTGTGGTGGGTATCAGGAACGCTGACTGCATTAAGCTCAAACAAAAGATGGCTTTTCCTTCCTACATCAGACTACTAGACTTCACTGACTGACATGAGAAGGACAGATGAACAGACTCATGTATGTTCCAGACAGGTGGATCTCTTAGGAACAGCAAATGTCTTCGCTAAGGGAACAGTATCTTTCTTATCCAGACTGCTGACTGAAGAAAGGTTTGAGGAGCATGATACAGTCAAGGAGGAAACAAGAAGACAAACACATTTTGATTGTCATTGTTACTACTAATAATTTCACATTTGTTTTTGGGGTATGAGATGTCCCAAATAAAAGATCTTCTTAAGCCTTTTGGGCCTATTGTCTGACTAGCCTGTATTTCAAGAAGAATTTTAGTCACAAACATCTACAAAGTCTTGAGGAAGGCACTGTGAACTGTTACTCTTTGCACATATTTACTTTCTAACCTACTTCTAGACAAGGAAAAAAAAAATACTTTTGTGTAAACAGAAAAGCTTGACATGCCCAGACCCTAAAAATAACCAGTTAAGCTTTTGAACTTGGATTCCCTTACCTTTTCATAAAAAAGAAATATGAAAGGTGTTGAAACTTTATGTTCTGGTTATTTTTGAGCTATAGGAGTACCACCATTTTGAGTGAAAGAAATTAATTAAACTTGCTTAAAAGAAATATGCACTTAAAAGTTCAGAAAGACAAAAGCTTGTTTTACTCAAACTAAAAAACAACAGGAAAACAATCTTTTCAGTTGAGAGAATACATGGAGAATCCAGCCCTAAAAGACTAAGAACTGAAAAATACGATGGTTTAGAATGGTATGATTATGAGAAATTATAGTATTTAATTTAATAAAGCATAATAACAGTGACCATAGAGAGGCTTCCCTCAGTCTTGTCTGCATTTTTCTGTGAATTTTAAAGCACAAACAGAAATTTAGTTCATACACTGCATTAGCATACAATCTGCTACATGCACCCATGTACATGCAAATGCCAGATGGTGGAGCAATATAAACTATTTGAGAGGCAGTAACATGAGGGACATTGCAGAAATGTCAAATCATAGACTACTAGGACAGAGAAGGAAAAAACAAGTCCTAATGGAGTGAAAGACCTTTAGTTTCTCCCGGAACAAGCATATTACCTTTGCATACCTTCATAAAGTTTAAACTCGCCTAGTTACCTTTACTACATAATTTACAATTACAACTTTCAGAACTAGTATGGTATAAATTTTATATTTTACAGAAAAAAGGGGAAAAAAAAGAGAAAACCTCTATAAGAGTTTCCTTTGCTTCTACACTTTATTCTTGTACCTAAGGAACAACCATAAAGGATCTAGTAACTAAAATTGACCTTAATAAGCTCTAGAAGTTGTATTGATCATTAGAAGACTCTAGCAGATGTATAGCACCTGTATGTTGATGCTCATTTCTGACTTTACATGTCTGCGTCTCACTCAGTGCTAGTTATGCTGGTCCATTGCTATCGGTGGTACTGGGGTTAGATCTCCCTAAGCAAGAAATTCCAGTTAAATGAAATTTGTTGACTGTCTTGCAGAATTCAGATACGACTCATTCAGCAGACTTTTTATAGAAAACCACTTTGCAGAACTCACATTCTATAACATTCTAAACATATTCCTGAATTACTCCTGTTCCCTAGAAAACATAGACCCAAAGTCAACTGCTAAGCAAGAGCACTACAGAAACAATAAAAAGTACCCCTACTTGACAGCATAGGTCATGCGATCGGGTCGAATGGCTCTCATTATGCACAGGCGCTGCAGAGCTGACTTGTTCTTCCATTCCTGAGGGAACTTCTCCTTTTCAGGACACTCAGATTCAACAAACTTCTTCCACCTTTTTGCAGACCCCTCAATATCCCGATCCAGGTTTCTGAATTCCTCCATGGACGAGAGAGCCTGGAAAAATTCAAGGAAGGTCTTCAGAAGAAAAATCCTACATGCCTCTGAACTATTTTTCCAACATTAGTGACTGCTCATGTTTTGTATCACCAAAAGGGTCATAGCTGGAGCCTGGGAACCACAGCCAGAAACCCACCAGGCTCAGACTTTGTCCAGTCTCCTTTTCCCAACTGTGTTGTCAGCACATTGTCACAGGAGCAGGAATCAACACAGCCCACTTACAAGGCCACAGGAAAGTACGACTGAGGACAGTTTCATACTCATGGAAAGTCTTCTGAACTGAAACATGTCTCAAGGCTGCCCACAGAACGTGACCTCTAAAATCATGCTGCACCTAACACAGCCTTCCCTGATGCTCCCACCCACATCACTGCAACGCCCTTCCCCAACCAGTGTAGCCACACATGGCCTCCAGGTCTTCTCCCCTGTATCACAGTTGCTGAGACGTGGGAGTTTGGAAGTGACAATACAGGAAAAGATGAAAGCATCTGGCATCATCTGCAATGCAGTTCTTCATATCCCGAAGTAAGAAGAAATCTGCTCTCCCATTTTGAAACTAGAACTGAAAAATCTCAGGTGGCAAGCACTTGGTACCATCAGTTATGCCAGAAATACCTGATTTGGAATGGAGCTGGAAATTTTGAGCCCATATCTGACAGAAGACCACATTGCTGGCATTCCCATGAGTTACAAGTCTGAAAACAGTCTCCTTACAGTCTCCTTACTGACTTCAACAGCCACAAAGAGGATCGTGCAGTAAAAATCACAGCAGCTGATGGATAAATGTGCTTTTGTATCCAGGGTGCTCAGTATCCAAAGCTAAACAGAGACTCAGGCATGCCATGCTCACCAAAACTATTTTTAAAGGGATTTCACAGTTGGGATATTAATTACCTTCATCTTTATACACACATAGTTATTTTTCTCTCCCTGTTCCCCCATGCACATACCTCTCTGTCTGCATAGTCTGGTGCACACACTCTGTGAAGCCACGACACTGAGACTTCACCATGCAGTCATGGTGACCACGGAGCCACAAACCTCAATAAACATAGTGCAAACTGTAAATGGGTGGGTGCTTTTTTTGTACAAGCATATATACTGTACTATGTCATGGTAAAAATCGAATCACTCAGATTTATACTTGCCAAATGTAGATGAAGATTTAATTCTCGGTGCTATAAGTCTGTAGCAGAAACAAGTAGCTGAAGAATACCTTAAAGAGCAGCTGAGCAAGTCAGTAAATAAATGATAATTACAATGAAAATGTAGCTAGATTTTGTAGCTAGAAAGTGGCAACTATAAATGTTATGCAGAGAAGTAAAGAGTCTAAATTATCTTTCATACAAGTGGTGGTAAAATGTATTACACAGCTTGTAAGGTTCTTCTGGATTTCAAGCAAAATTCTCGCTGAAACAAACATCTTCAGAGTCTTTTGCATAATCTGAAGCTGTAAGCAGTTGAACATGAAGTGGCAAAGACAAGTGAAGTATAAAAGACAGTGAATGAGCTATTTTCTATAGAAACAGAAGGGCATACTCAGAGTGAAGCAGAAGCTTCTTGATGGGTAGAGGTGTTCCGCACCATTAATGCTCCAGCTCACATCCCATACAGCTCTGATATGGAAAGCAACTGAGAGAACTGCTTGAAAAATGTTGGCGTCACACCTTGTTCAGATCAACTGAAAAAATACACACTTGCCAAAGGGCTTTAAAAGTCATGCAAATGCCCTGACAGAAGTGCTGAGAGATTGCCTTGGATACTATGATGCTGCAAATGAGGCAGAAGACACTTAAGGCTACTCTGCTCTAAAAACTGGAGGAAAGCCACACTTTCCCTCTGGAAAGGCTTCCCAATGAGAAGACAAGAGCAGTGTAAAACTTTGGTCTTTCTAGTAGACTGAATTCAGTTAGAAGCCGTACTTCAACATAAAGACCGAACAAAGGGAAGGAAGGGGGCAGAAAAAGGGGCTTCTTATAACAAATGAGATTTTTAGCAGTGGGAATGCCTGTAGATGACAGAGAGAAAGAGGTTGTAAAGATGTTCCCAGTGGGTGCCACTGATCCAGGATATATGTTGAATATACACTCACAGCACCACAGAAGCAATGGTTTGAAGAGACTTCCGGAGGTGTCTAGTCCAATCTTGTGCTCGGGCTAGGACTACAGCCACCACTGGATCAGGTCAGTATGGTTTTGTCTACCAAAATGCTGACCTCTAAAATGAAGCGCGCTCAGTCTCTCTGAGCGTCCTGTTGTAGAGCTGCACTATTCTACGGAGATTTTTTTCTTTTAATATGTTCAAGCTAAACCTCCCTACCTGCAATTTGACACAGCTGATCCTTATTACATTCACTGCCAATAACAAGGAGAGTTTGAAGTTTGGCTCTGTTATTTTGTAGCTGGACAAATCCCTCCACCTTTCCTCACAGGTCATGTGCTCTAGGGCCAAAATTACAGCTTTAGGCAGAGAAGTACTTGTAGATATTACTATAAATGCTTCTGCATCAAATCATGCCTTGCCCAAAGTCACAATTTCATCAATACCGCCAGAAAAGGCACAGGTAAGAGCAGAGTACTTGAAATACCACTTGAGAGCTACAGCATGGACTGACTCAGTTTGGTGCTGACCATCTCCATGCCAAACTCCCAGGTATTCTGAGAATTTTGTGAAGAAAAGTGTGAGTACAGTAGTGATTCAACAGATGTTGTTTCCATGTGTGGATTAGCACCAACATGGAGAAATGTCAGCGACAGTACTTGCTCCAAATCAGTGCCATATTCCGCTTTCTGAGAGAAGCAGAAACCGGAGCACAGAACATGAGGAACTGAAATTCACAGGAACAATGCCATGTATTCCAATCTGCCAAAACCTTGTCCTTGAAGCAATAAATATGTTTGATGCGTCTCTCATAGCTGAGCACAATACAATGGCAAATGTTGAATTCAGTGGATTCATCAGTGCAAGTGCTTATATAAAACAATTTAACACTGTTGACTTTTGAAGTGACTTACTTAAAATACCACTTCAGAACTTTGGCTGCTGCCTCTTCAAGAAGTCTCTTGGTTGATGTTAACAAGGGAGACTTTGAAAAATTACTTTCTTCTTACCAAATGACAGACATGTAATCAGAGATGATAGTCGCTCTCTCCCTGAACAACATGTTGCAGAATCAAGAAACCTCTAATTGCAAGTATAAAATCTGTATTATATAAATTAACACTAAAATTTTCATTAGTCAACAATTTTAATTGCATTTATTAGGAGTGATGGTATTAATAAGAGATGCTGCTATTTAAAAGCTGGTGCAGTGAAAGCTATCTCAATCAGTAATCTTTCCGTGAATATTAACTGCTTTTCAATACCTCTGCTGTGAAATTTTCCAAGAAACTTAGATGAACAATAGGACATCACTGTTTCCATCAGCAGGAGTAAAAGCAGGAACAGTACATTGGGACAGCAGATGGGTACTACACACCAACCTGTGTAGCATGGCTATTTTTGTCAACATAATGAAGAATACATTTGTCAATTAGAGTTGTCATGGAAATTGAGAGGGACAAAAAACATTGATCAAAATAAAATATGATCAAAAAGGCTGGAGGACTCCAGTTCCTGTCTTTGTAACCCACACTATAACCATCTCCTATGTCTAGAAACTGGAGGGTCTTGAATTTATATCTCAAAACAAGACTTTGCCAGCAAAATAGGTCTCTTCACACCACGTTAAGGCAAGGATCATTGTTTTCTCAGAGAAAATGATTTTTCATTCACTGAATCACACACAACTTGCTTTATCACTTTGGTTTTCTTCAACAGTTTCTCGTCTTAAGCTAGAGCCAGCTTTAAACTGGAGCTGACGTGTCAGCAGATTTGTGAATTTCACACATCCACAAATGCAAAGTACTCTCTTCCCCCCCCCCTCCCCAGCTCTGGGAAATACAACATGTATCAGCCATCAGCTTTGAGAAAGAAATCCTAGTTGCCATTGAGGAGCAACTGCTAGTGTGCTTACAAAGTGGCCTTAACACACGGCCCTTCAGAGAGTCAACGAAGGGCCAGAAGGGAAAGGAGATCTTTGCAAAGAGACAATGTTGGTGGGGGACAGAGAGAAGTCCCAAGTAGATGGGCACAAGGAGGAGATGATACATTCAGTTTCCTCTTACTGCTGGCCATCTCCAGATGATGAGTTGAGTCTTTTGTGAAAAGAACAACTTCAAAGGTCTGGTGTCTTTGCTACTGCATGTAACTTATCTCCTACTGCAAGATACACTACAACAAGCTTTTGTAAATTTATTGGAGAAAACACTTGTTCTTATCACTAGAGGCAGTTATTCTAAGGACACTATCTTGTCAAAACTGGCCTCAAGTTTGTCATTGCTTCATAAGTTTTTACAAAATCTAAAAAAAAGAAAATGAGATTATCTCAATGTTTTCTTCCTCTCAACCATAAAGGAAATTATTCTTTTAAAAAAGACTGTTTTGTATTTTAAAGTATTTCTATAATTTAACACATCCTGCCTCAGAGCCATCTGACTCGAGAACAGCTCTGGGGCAAGGGAAGTCAAAACAGCACCTCATTACCATACTCTGCACTGACATAAATAGTGTGGAAAATAATAGAGTGTGAGTAAAACCAGTGCTGCCAGAGTGAGCTGCTAACATCTATTTACCAAGTTCCCCAGCAGCCATTAGACTGTTTTTTTAAAAGACATAATGAAATCATAATTTAAAAAATGAGATTTTTTTTTCTAATTGAAGCTGTCCTTACTTTTTGAGTCTTCAGGTTATACCTGAGTCATACTTTCAATCTTAGCTCCTTATATAACTTATTTTTTAAGAAAAAAGAAAACCTTTTACCTAAAAAATGAGATCTGTGAGGAATGCACTGAACATCAAATGTCTCTCTATAAAAAATCACGCAACTTGACCACACTGGAAAGAAATTGTATTTAATATTCTCACAGTTTTAATAATCTGTGAGATGATTAAATCCT